AAAAACCCCAAACTATACTACTTGTGATAAATTTACTCTGAACTTTTTTTTTGTGATACGAAAAAATCCCAAATTATGCCACTTGTGACACATTTACTCCATAATACTTTGGCCCATGGGCATTTTCGTCTTTTTCTTTTTTCTGTTTTGTTTTTTCCTTCTCTCTTCCCTCCGCCGGCCATGGCGGAGGGAAGTCGGCGAGGGCGACCCTCGCCGGCGCTGGGCGAGGGTTGCCCTCGCCTGAGTCGGAGTCGGGCGAGGGCGCCCTCGCCTGCCCAGGCGAGCGTGGCCCTCGCTAGATCCGGCGATGGCAGTCCTCGCCCAGCGCCTGCGAGGGCCCTCGCCGGCTTCCCTCCACCATGGCCGGCGGAGGGAAGAGAGAGGGAAAAAACAAAACAGAAAAAAGAAAAAGACGAAAATGCCCATAGGCTAAAATATTATGGAGTAAATGTGTCACAGGTGGTATAGTTTGGGATTTTTTCGTATCACAGAAAAAAGTTCAGGGTAAATTTGTCACAAGTGGCATAGTTTGGGGTTTTTGGTGATATTTTCCTAAAAAAATAAGAGAAAGGAGAGGCTCCAAAAAGCAAAAAATAAAAAATAAATATAAAATCGCTTTACGTGTTAAGAGACTCCGAAAAGCAAAGAAAAAAGACAAAAAGGGTATTGCTTTATGTGTTGAGTTTAAGACTTCTTGATTATGTGCAAAGTAGGTAGCCTTTTCTAAACGGTCATTCGATTGAGGCCGTCATTCGTGGAGCCTACCATTTCGGAAGCATAAGACGGCATCCCCTTAGTTCATTTGAACAAATTGGGGAGACATCATAGCTCGTGATCATTGATCCTGCAGTTTTGTTGGGGGTGTCGGGAGATTTTTCAGCTTAGGAGCTGAAAATCAACCGCTCGTATGTCATCAACTCCTTGCGAAACTGCTCCGGATGAGAGTCACTTGTACATACCAAAAATCTCGGTTCAACCGATTAATGGGGCTAGAAGGGTATTTAGTGGTCTCGACGTAACCAGGATTCCACACGGTTACTTTGGATTTTTTATTTATTTTATAAAAAGAGGGTCTCCTGTAGCTATTATTAATTATTATTTTCTTTTGCCAAGTTACTGATAATTGAAAACTTGTAAGAAGATCTCATAGAAGATTCATGCGATTATTAACGAGGAGACCATTGGGATTTGGACATATGAGTGAAATGTTTCATTAGGTGAAAATCCAGGATTAAGCATAGATTTTAGATAGAACAAGTAGAGAAAAATTGAGCAATGAAAGCGTCGGTTTTAAGAAAGATATATTTACGAGTTGAATTTTCCATAACATATTTATAAATCCACCATTTCAAGCAACTTTTTGGCATGCGGTTGCCGTATCCTCTTAAATGAACTCGGTGTCTAAAATAAATGAATAATGGCAACCGCTATGCTTAGCATACCTCTACATCAAATCAATGCGGTACGGTCAATCAACTCGGGTCATTATAAACAATATCGAAGCGACATCCTTGATGAATAACGCCACGAGGAGCGTCCTTAGGAAAACGGGCATATATTAACATGCACATTATACCTAATTAGGATTGACAATCAAATAGCACATAGAGCAAGAAATCTCTATCTAAGATTGAATAAACTAATCTCAAAAATTGAAATTGCGAGATTCCTCGAAACTCACATCAAATGTTGACAGCTAAATTTGCTAAGGAGAAACATGGCATTCCATCGCCCACGGTGTTTGGACACTGTCTTCTTGCCAGAAACGCATGACAAGTGTGGTCGTCCTCATTGGCTCGAAATGACTACAGAGTCAACGCAATGCTTCTATATGTTCTCTTGTCAACGTCAATTTCATGGGCCATCTGCTGTCCGTCGCTCGCCCGGCCAGGTGACCCTTGCCCTACCACGACCCTCTCCGGTGGCTGGCCATTACCTGAGGCTGAGACCTGCCATTGGCAAAAAGGAAAGACAAAAATAGAAAAATTTAAAATAAAAAGGAAAAAAAATCAGAAATTTTTTTAAAAATTGTGCACGTTAGTGTTGGTATCTGCCACATAGGACGGCCGTAATAGCTTGAACCCCACGTTAGTATTTTCCGATCAAAATTGGCGATGAACTTAATTGGCAAAAGTGAAAAGGTTTAGGATTGAATGCAACAAGTACAATACGCTTACGACTTTTTTGGTAATTTTTCCAAAGGAGGGCGCACTTTTTATCTATTCTATTGATTGAATACATCTAAATATACATTTGAACTTACATTCTTCGTATCCAATTCTATATATATTTATATTTATATTGATAAGTAACAGACATTTGAGGATGACTAACTAAACTAATGCTAATCAATTGAATGAGGGCCGTTTGGCTCGCCTCATGACGTTCATAGAGGAAAAGAAGAGTGTCATGTGACGAGCACAAGAGTGGGCATTCTCTTAGCTAAGTTTCTTCCCAGTGTACATCTACATTATGTGTTGCCAAGCACAATTTGCATTTCCAAAAATTTCTTTAGCATAAAGTCCTTTACATTTCCCCAAAGCCTTTTCCAAAAAGTCAAATCATACGCAACCTAACAACTTTATGTGGAATTACTTTTCTGGTAAGATGTGGGCTCATAATCTAGGCTTGAATTTGGGCTAATGGCATATACCAAACATGGGCCTCCGACCTGTTCACTGTATGCTTGGCCCGCGAAGTCAAAATTTAACTATATCCTGTTGTCACGCCTAATTATGTAATTTATGAAATTTTGAACAATCGTCGCAACTTCCTTTTTTCTCTAATTTTTGGCAAAGTTGAAGAGGACGGATTTGAAAACAACCAACAACATCATTCTAAGGTTTCTTTATAACCATGTTTGCTTTCTAACACGTGTTAACAAGAACTAGGAGATAAGGGATAATGCTAAGTATGCACCGATGAGCTTATCGGTCTAGATCTAGGGCTAATATTTTTCCACATGATCCATTCACATTGCACGCGGCTGACCGTGTTAGTATGAAACCATATTGTGTTCCTATAAAAGCAAGCCAGTCATTTATGCATGAACTATTGACATACCGTGTCCGGATCAATCCTTTTAATCCATTTTATGACGTGCTTAATCATATTATCTTAACATACTTCTTGTACTTATAGGACACGCTTAGATGCATGTAGCTATGTTTACGTGTACTTGAACATATTTTCACAAAATTAAATATAAAAGTTTATAGCCGAAGCGGTCAAATATGTTGTTTCATCACCCAAATTTGACAATATATGAAGACAAATTGTTAGTTCTACCTTCCAATATGCCACATCATTATTAAAATTGTTTGAATGTCTTCTCGTAGTCTGTCATATCACTTAATTTATTACTTTTATATAGTCATGGTAAACTTAACACTACTTAATATTAAGACAAACAGCTTTAAGTGGCCGCACTTGCCTTTTGAAAAGCCAAATAAGCTTGTTTATGCTATGATTCTTAAGGTGTTTGCTTTGAGGAAGCACGACACTTCAAGAGCAGCTCATTTGGAGCAACAAATGATAGTTTTCATGATTGATAGCTTGAAAATTGTGCGCAGACAAAAGTTTCTAATTATTGCAAAGAGACTGCTTTCCTAATTCCATTTTGGCTTTTTATTGTTCCTTTTGAAAAGCCAGTTAAGCGTGTTTATGCTATGCTTCTTGAGGTGTTTGCTTTGAGGAAGCACTACTCTTCAAGAGAAGCTCATTTGCGGTAACAAATGATTGTATTCATGACTGACAGCTTGAGAAGTCTTGGGTGGTGCAAAGACGAAAGTTCCTAATGATTGCAAAGAAACTACTTTCCTAATCCCATTTTGGCGTTTCATTGTTCCTTTTGAAAAGCTAGATAAGCATGCTTATGCTATGCTTCTTAAGGCGTTTGCTTTGAGGAAGCACTACTCTTCAAGAGAAGCTCATTTGCAGCAACAAAAGATCGTCTTCATAACTAATAGCTTGAAGTCTTGGGCAGTGCAAAGATGAAAGTTTCTAACAATTGCAAAGAGATTGCTTTCTTAATCCCATTTTGGCTTTTCATTGTTTCTTTTGAAAAACCAGATCGCTGCTCTTCAAGAGAAGCTTATTTGCCGTAACAAATGACTGTATTCATGACTAACAGCTTGAGAAGTCTTGGGTGGTGCAAAGACGAAAGTTCTTAATGATCGCAAAGAGACTACTTTCCTAATTCCATTTTAGCGTTTCATTGTTCCTTTTGAAAAGCCAGATAAGCGTGTTTATACTATGCTTCTTAAGATGTTTCCTTCAAGGAAGCACTACTCTTCAAGAGAAGCTCATTTGTAGCAACAAAAGACCGTCTTCATGACTGATAGCTTGAGAAGTCTTGGCCAATGCAGAGACAAAAGTTCCTAACATTTATGCAAAGGCAATGGGGCAAAAGCTACCCCACACACCCTTAGTATACTTAGCACTATCTTTTCTTTTTCTTTTTTTTTTCCTTTTTACGATTATCACCTAAAGTTTGTTGTATGTATCTTTAGGGCTTAACCTGTTGTTGGACACTACAGCCCAAGCGGATCCGGGTCAAAACGGACCATATGGAGAAGCCCATAGAGTGGAGCCCATTTGCTGCCAATCGTGGGCCCATCGCTAGAAAAGAAGAGAATCGATATAAAGAACTTACAATTAATAATTAATAAAGAAAAATAATAAAGAATTTTGCACCATTGAAACTTGAAAGTAAAGAAAATAAAGAAATTCTTTTTCCCATTTCACCATAGAATCAACATATCTGGTTTTTTTTATCTTTCCTGTACAACCCCACAAAAAGCCCTATAAAATCTATATGGAATCCTAAGAACAAAAAAATTACAGCTATCTTCGGACCTGACTATAGTATGACTCCTAAAAATAAATTTCACAAACTTAGGTCCCAAGGGAAATGAAAAAAAGAAATCATCATTTCCTCCCACTATGCTTTCACAAACAAAAAAAAAAGAAAATCTTGTCATATGTCACATACACTTTACCTACTCACTCCTTTCGGGAATTCTACGGCCCAACGTTCCCCGACCGATCATCTCCTGGAATTGATTCATCGACTCCTGTCTCTGCAATCTCATGTCTTCTTTGAACTTGTTAATAAATGCTTCGACTCGACAGTTCAAATCGTCCGGACTTAGCTCCTTCCTCAACTTAATGGGCGAGAGGGGCGGCTGCCGATTGGTCCGATCCCTAAACGTCGCTGATTTTTGCATCGAAGGTGGCGGCGGCAACAACGACTCCGGCAAGCTGATCTGATGGTCGATGTCGTCCGGTTTCATGTGCCGTGTCATCGACATCGCCGCCCCCACCGCCGCCCCCGCCGCCACCGCCGCCCCCTCCTTCTCCTCCATTATCGCTTTCCAAACTGTCTCCATGTTCTCGTTCGATCTTCTTAAAGCTTTGCCCCCTTTACTTAATACAAAGTGAATTACATTAATACAAAAAATTAAATCTCATGAAAAAAAAGCGATATTATGTGAACATGTTAACTTGATTTCATAAATCCGTTGACCGAAATATCCAAAGACACAGTCCCGTCATCCTCGTCGCTTTCTTGTTCGTACGTAATGCGAACTTCGAAATTCATATCACCTCACTTTCGCCCTTCTTACCTTGCAGGTGGTCGCCGCCGGCGGCTTTCCGGCGAACGAGCCTCGGCGGAACCAGAGCTTTCCCCGATGAGTCCACTCGCCTCCGCCGCGCCGACGCGGACCTCCCGAACGCCACCTTCCTCCCCCCTTCGCAGTCACCGTTGTATCCATCTTCGCTGCCGGAGCCCCTGCCATTCCCCGGCGCCGCCACCACCACTACCCTCTTCTCCTCGAAATCCTTAGACTCGTTGAACGGCGATGCCGCCACCATGGCCTCCATCTCCTCCACAACCGCGATCGTGATCGTCTCCGGCTGCGCGCGGCCGAAGTACCCGGAGGTGGCGGCGATGATGACGTTGACGACGAGGAAGAGGTACGGATGCCTGAACCACGAGAGGAACCAGCCCAGCACGGGAGGCAGCCGAGGACCCAGAGGGCCGGAGATCGATGGAACAGCGGCCCCGAGAGCGACCATGGCGATGGACACCGCACAGGCCGACACGAGCAGGGCTTTGAGGGACGCCATCAAGGCGATCGATGACACCATCTCGTAGATTGTTTTGCAGCGAAGTACGAGAGTGCGAGCTTGCGAAGTGAAGTTTTCAGTGATGAGAGCATCGGTGGGGAGTTCAGTAGAGCTAGAAATAGACGAAGACGAAGACGAAGCTTCGGCTTCGGGGCGATTTGGAGCCGTCCGATTGGATCCGACGGTGGGCGTGGGCGAGTGCGGTTGCGTGGCTTCCTGAGGACCCCGCACTGGGCCCACCCGCCTTCTTTTCCTTAAAAAAACAAAATAGCGACTTCCTTGTCTTTTGACAAGTCGTAGCAAGAAGGACGAGAAAATTCAATTGAATGGTGACCGCCAGTCAATTGATTAGGAGGTGAGAATTCGACATCTCGGGTTCAATCTCTTTCGATTTTAATTGCAAGATAAGGGAATCTTTGTAAGAATATTAATCGGGTCTAGAAATTCAAATGCTCGACTGAAAAATACGAAGAGATTGTCGAATCAGCGTCGAGTCGACTAACTTTAAAGGCGATAAAATGTAATTATCGAATCGTATTTCGACAGAAGAAACTCGTCGGTCCTGATGATTCCTATCATCGATGGCGATATGCCAAATTAATCGAAGTTTAAATATATGAAGTGTTTGTTTATCGATTCCCTCTTATTCTTTTTGAGCTTCATGATGCTAGTGGAGTAGCATAATCTAATTTTCGATTTTAGTGCATTTTAAGAAGTCAAAATTATATAATAATTGCATCATCGGTATTATCAAGTGGATTTAAGCCGAGCTCAAACTTGCGTGAAGAGCGCACATGTAATTCACTAAATCAAGCCCGTTCGTTAAAACAGCGAAGCTCCCATTGAATTTGAGACGACCGTTGGGTCTTGCCTCGTCAAGCTACTCGACTTCAAAACAATTCACTAACCTACTTAAATCGGCTTAGTCACAATTTGAATTTGGCTGAACGGATTTATCAAGCTAAGGAGGAGTATAATCTGTATGTGCAGAGAGAGAGAGAGAGAGGGGGGCTCGAAAAAGCAAATAAATAAAATCGAAAAGCCAAAAAAGTAAAAAAAGAAAAATACCACCAAAAACTCCAAACTATGCTACTTGTGACAAATTTACCCTGAATTTTTTTTTGTGATACGAAAAAATCCCAAACTACGCTACTTGTGACACATTTACTCCACAATACTTTGGCCAATGGGCATTTTCGTCTTTTTTCTTTTTCTATTTGTTTTTCCTTCTCTCTTCCCTCCGCCGGCTATGGCGGAGGGAAGCCGGCGAGAGCCCCCGCCCGCCCAGGCGAGGGCAACCCTCGCCGGCGCTGGGCGAGGGTTGCCCTCACCTGAGTCGGAGTAGGGCGAGGGCAGCCCTCGCCGGCTTCCCTCCGCCATAGCTGGCGGAGGGAAGAGAGAAGGAAAAAAAAAATAGAAAAAGAAAAAAGACGAAAATGCCCATGGGCCAAAGTATTGCGGAGTAAATGTGTCACAAATGGTATAATTTGGGATTTTTTGTGTCACAAAAAAAGTTCAGGGTAAATTTATCACAAGTGGCATAATTTAGGATTTTTGGTGGTATTTTCCCAAAAAAATAAGAGAAAGGAGAGGCTCCAAAAAGCAAAAAATAAATATAAAATCGCTTTACGTGTTAAGAGACTCCAAAAAGCAAAGAAAAAAAAATAAAAAAAAGGGTATTGCTTTATGTGTTGAGTTTAAGACTTCTTGATTATGTATGTGCAAAGCAGGTAGCCTTTTCTAAACGGCCATTCGATTGAGGCCGTCATTCGTGGAGCCTACCATTTCGGAAGCATAAGACGGCATCCCCTTAGTTCATTTGAACAAATTGGGGAGACATAGCTCGTGATCATTGATCCTGTAGTTTTGTTGGGGGTGTCGGGAGATTTTTCAGCTTAGGAGTTGAAAATCAACTGCTCGTATGTCATCAACTTCTTGCGAAACTGCTCTGGATGAGAGTCACTTGTACATACCAAAAATCTCGGTTCAACCGGTTAATGGGGCTAGAAGGGCATTTAGTGGTCTTGAGGTAACCAGGGATTCCACACGGTTACTTTGGATTTTTTTTTATTATAAAAAGAGGGTCTCCTGTAGCTATTATTAATTATTTTTTTTGCCAAGTTACTGATAATTGAAAACTTGTAAGAAGATCTCATGGAAGATTCGTGCAATTATTAACGAGGAGACCATTGGGATTTGGACATATGAGTGAAATGTTTCATTAGGTGAAAACCCAGGATTAAGCATAGATTTTAGATAGAACAAGTAGAGAAAAATCGAGCAAGGAAAGCGTCGGTTTTAAGAAAGATATATTTATGAGTTGAATTTTCCATAACAGATTTATAAATCCACCATTTCAAGCAACTTTTTGGCATGCGGTTGCCGTATCCTCTTAAATGAACTCGGTGTCTAAAATAAATGAATGATGGCAACCGCTATGCTTAGCATGCCTCTACATCAAACCCATGCGGTACGGTCAATCAACTCGGGTCATTATAAACAATATCGAAGCGACATCCTTACTGAATCACGCCAGGAGGAGCGTCCTTAGGAAAACGGGCGTATATTAACATGCAAATTATACCTAATTAGGATTGACAATCAAATAGCACATAGAGCAAGAAATCTCTATCTAAGATTGAATAAACCAATCTTAAAAATTGAAATTGCGAGATTCCTCGAAACTCACATCAAATGTTGACAGCGAAATTTGCTAAGGAGAAACATGGCATTCCATCGCCCACAGTGTTTGGACACTGTCTTCTTGCCAGAAACGCACGGCAAGTGTGGTCGTCCTCATTGGCTCGAAACGACTATAAAGTCAACGCAATGCTTCTATATGTTCTCTTGTCAACGTCAATTTCAAGGGCCATCTGTTGTCCGTTGCTCGCTCGACCAGGTGACCCCTGCCCTACCACAGCCCTCTCCGGTGGCTGGCCATCACGTGAGGATGAGACCTGCCATCGGTGAAAAGGAAAGAGAAAGATAGAAAAATTTAAAATAAAAAGGAAAAAAAATCAATTTTTTTTTTAAAAATTGTTTATGTTAGTGTTGGTATGCCATATTGGACAGCCAGCATTGACTGAACCCCACGTTAGTGTTTTCCGGTCAAAATTGGCTGAATGGACTTAATTGGCAAAAATGAAAAGGTTTAGGACTGAATTGACACAAGTGCAATAGGTTAACGACTTTTTTGGTAATTTTTCCAGAGGAGGGCGCACTTTTTGTCTATTCTATTGATTGAATACATCTAAATATACATTTGAACTTACGTTCTTCGTATCCAATTCTTGTTGTCGGCTAAGTTCGTATACCAGAAATTAAAATCAAACGTTAGGAAAACTAACCTGAAAGCAGTACAACCAAATAAGCAGAATGTTGATCCGAGCCCAACGAAATAACGTCGTGTCCTTAAGACGAATTTGGCCCCTCAATCAGTACCCGAGGATATTGGACAATCGTCTCCCAAGATAGAATGGATCTCGTTCCTCCGAAGCGGTACGTATTCGGAGGACTCCTACGAACGCAATTTTGCAGAATAATCACACAAAATGACAATGATGAAGTGAATATGCGTAGAGAATGTCTCACGGGAATGCCGATGTCACGAAGTATCCTTTTATCGAACTAACTATTCAGTCATATTAAAGTGGCGAAAATGAAGAGTTACGAGGGTTCGTGAACAGTAGCGAAGGCCCGAACCTCACGAACAGACATGTTTGTTTGTCCAAAAAATAAATAAATAATTAATTTCTAACAACGTGTCTGTTCGGAAAAAATAAAAAACCGATAGAGAATGGACCCGGAACCGAGCCGACCGGCGGACGGCGGCGGCGGCGGCGCGCGCGCGGGGGGGGGGGGGGGGGAA